TATTTTTTAAAAAGTAAACAGCTCTAGCATTTCAAATTAATCTTCTTGGTCAGAGTTTTTAACATTTTCTTTTTTTAATAGGAAATCCTTTCACATGTACATGTCTTAACCATTAAAATTCTGTAGCTGTATCTTATCACAGTTTTCCTATCTCATTTTATTTTCTAAAGAGTAGCACTAGTTCCTGTATCAAGCCCTGTTTTTCCCTCATTTGGAGATGTGCAGCATAAGTGGGAGCTGGTCATCATTAAGAAATAAGTGAAACAGTCTTTCTGTGCTTGTATCTTGCATGGTTATGCAGAGCAAAATTAATATTCTGCAAAATAACCATGCCTGTCTTCATTTCTAAAGATAAAATGTTCTTTGTTTCCTACTGTGATGTGATCTGAGAAGTCCATCATAAAGGCTTTTGTTCTCTTTTTTGTCCAAATCAGAAGGGATTCAGTCACAGCCTCGTGAAGAGGTGTGGTGGGTTTTTGTTAGTTTGTATTTGGTTTTGTTTTTTTTTTTTTTCATTTCTACATTGCTACTGGGTTTAAGACCGTCCATCTGATCATGACAATTTTACCTTTCCCCAGAGATAGAAGCCATGAGGCATGTGATGCTTGCCTTTTGGATTGCAACTTTATTTGTGTACAGAACTTGCTGATCAGAAATCTATTGCATAGGCATGGCGTTTGTCAGTTCCCCAAAGGACATCCCTTCCCTCCCCCATGTGCTGATAAGTATTCTGTCTTTTACTTTGATCCTCTGATGAAAAGTGCATGCTTCATCTTCTACTTATGAGTGATGTTTCTTTCTCTTTTTTTCTCTCTCCTTGTCTTAATTTCCTGGCTTCTCTCCCTTTCCTTTCCCTTTATCCTCTCCTCTTTCTTTCTGATGCAGAGATGAAGATAGTTGGGTGTAAGTTTCTGCTTTTCTGTGTAATGTCTGCTTATTGCTTGCTTTTTCCCATTTTCATAGCTCTCATGGAATATTGGGTATTGGTAAAGATAGCAAATCATGACATCATAGGGCAGCTGTGGTAACAGAGGCATAGACTTCATCTTGTCAGTCTCTTCATACCACAATGTATCGGACAAATTTAGTGGCTATGACAGATGAATGGGTAGCAACGGTGAGAAACATCTCAGCATCTGTTCTGTCAGTGAGCACAAAGTCATGGCAAAAATACATTAAGAAGTGGATGTGGTGAAATCCATCAGCTATTATCAGAATGTTCATGGCAGGAGTCAATGAGACTAAAAGACATAGTTATGTAGGAATTGTCCCAAAAAAGCTTTTTCAAGGGGAAAAAAGTATTTTTGTTGTAGATAAACTTGTGGAAATGGGAAGTTGGAGGAGGTAAGGAAAAGAAAAGTATTAAAACTAAATTTCCCACTGTTGAAAGGGGAAATTATTTCAGGGAAATAATTGAATTTAAAAAGAGCATTCTGTAAATTCTTTTCAATGCACAGAAGTCAAACAATGAATAGTCAATAATCTACTAATTATTGTTTGTTCGTTTTTCTGGAAACAATTGTTCACCAAAAGCTAGAGGAACACACAGAGTTAAACTTGCTAATGTTCTCTTTATAGAAAAAAGTTAATTTGCCGTACAGGCAGTAGATAAAAGCTCTGTTTCCCCTTGCTGCTGTATTATTACACACAATACCGCTAATAGTTGCATACTGTAACTATTTCAAGACTGTCTTAAAAAAAATTAGCAACTGACTGGTGGACAAGCAGAGAAATAAACTGCTGAAATGGATCTGATGTGATGCCCAGTGACAATCTGATGACACCAGCCACAAAGAATACAGCAGGCAATACTGCAGGGTTGTACGCCAGGGTCGAGAGTGACCTTGTGGTTAGAGCAAGGGAAAACCGTGCAGTGTGGGACCTGGCACTCTTAATCCTTTGAAACCTGGTCGAGGACAAGTCCACAATGGTCAGGAGGAAGCAAGGCCCGTAGGGTGTTGGAGACCCTTCCCGTACAGGGCACTTTGTCATTTTTTGTCCTCTAGTCCATCACTGTGGCATCGTTCTGTTAACCTCACCCGTGTTGAAAAGTGGCCAGTTGAGGCAAGGGCGTGGGTGTGCTGTTTGGGATCAGAGTGCAGTCACGGGCACCCTGCTCTTGTGCAGGGCCCCCCCGTGCAGGGGAGAGCTGGCCATCAAGGGAAGGTCTGCTTCAATGTGATACTCTTGGCCAGAAGGAACAGTAGTTATTATTGTAAAGGGCCAGCACAAATACAGCCATAAGTATCCTATATTTAATAGTTTGTCTGGTCTTCATTACTGGCTGGGCTGAGGCTCTCACAGAGTCAAGCCGTCAGTGGTTTAAACTGCTGTGTCTTCATTTAAGTCCGTGGGGTGATGCTGATTTAATCTAGTCATGGAGATGTTAATTTATATACAGGACATAAATGTATGGGTTTGTTTTTTCTTTATAAACCATTGTGGAACATACTCTGCGTGTTCCTCTTGCCTCTTCATTCTCGGCGTTATTGGCACTCTTCTGTAAAATGTCAGTGTTTTCACAAAGCTGCTAAACCCAGTGATGTTAGAGGGTCAGCCAGACAGGATATCACAGGGTTGGGCCTTAAGTAAGTAGGACCAGCTCAACAATTTAACAAACACAGACATAAATACTAATTTGTATAGATACATTGTTTTTTATGTCATTGGCTACTTAAATTGTAAAGGACTGAAGTTTCAGTTTAAAAATTTGTTTTTCCCTCTGGATAAATAGTTATTTTACCAAGGTACTTGAAACTAGACCTGCACATCCTGAGTGTTGTCAGCTGTCACTTTTTCCCTGCTTACAGGGATATGTTAGGTGTCCTTTACAAGTTCACAGTCATAGAACACTGATTTGTTAGAAAACAAATTTGCTACAATCAAGATGTCAGAGATTTATTTGCCTCTTTCTCCTTCAGGAACTTATGCCAATTATGTAACCTTCTTTTGATGGCGGTAGTCACCTGTATAGAACAGGTACCATTCCTGTCCTTAGTGTACAAAATCTCTTAGGATCCCCTAATAAAAGGTGTTAGATAAAACACAGTTTCTGTAAATTGCTGCTTCATTCCAGTTCAAGTAACTGGTTAGTCTTCTAGTGGAAAACATAACAATCTTGTCAGGATAAATCTACTTATTCTAAGAGATACTACTAGACAATTAGTGGCCATTGGACTACTTAATGTTATTAAGTCTTAAAAATTATGAATAGCTCTTTGGAAGTCTTTCAGTACTTTTCCTCATATTGTAAACACAAAATAGCTACATGGCTCACGTAGCCTTTTCCACCACTCCTTTTTTCTCCATTATTATTAAAATAGTTTCAAGTGGTATGAGAGGATTTAATTTAAATTTAAGCAAATCCCTCAAAGCTATAATTGATGATTTATAATTTAAACTGTTGTACGTTTGGCATAAGGCTTTGTAAATAGGTTAAAACAAACCAAAACCCCCATAAAGGTGAAGGGAGGGTAACAGAAGAGCTGCATAACACATCAGAAAATATTTATTTATTATTGTGAAAAATACTTCAAGACATTTCATAAAGAATTAGTGACCACATATGTTAGAACTGCTTGTATTTCATGCTAAAAAGCCGTTGACATTTGGTTTTAAATTGAAAACAATTGTCGAGAGATGTGCTTTAAAACAAATGCCATTCTGAAAACTCTTGATTAGGTTTTCACTTCATCCTTGACATGCATCCAACACAAAGAGGCCGCAGCTTAAAATGTCATCTGCAGGTTTTAGTCTATAAATACTTCTGGCCCACTAGCCTTCTAGCATTTTTTATTCCTGTACTAATGATAGGAGGGTGCAGCTAACCCAGTTTTATAATCAGCACTGCTCTGTCTGTGAAGATGTGAGGCCTGTGTGATCCCGGTTGTTCGTGCACTTGGGGGGCATGCAGAGGTTTTTCTTTACCCTTGTAGTTTGCACACTCAAAACTTTTAATAGAATGCCTGTGTTCAGGCATTTGCTCTAGTTTCTGTGTAGCCCATTGGTACATATGAACTCAAACCCCTCAAAACCAGTAGCAGCTGGAGAAAAAAAATGGCTTGTGAGGAGGACTCAGCAAGAGATGTAGTTAACTAATAGGTTGGGACAAGGAGGTACTTCTTTGTAATAAGGTTGTTTTCACTGACATAAACAGAAGCGTTTGAGTTTGTAGTCTCAAGTCCAGATTTTCAAAAAACTGATGTACTCCATACCTGATAATTAAGTGATTTTTGTCTTTGCTAGATACATTTACTTTCCTGTTTTCAGAATGTGTAACCTTTTCTGTTTTTTTTAAGATTCAATAGACAATATTTTTACAGAAGGTGCACCGTTATACTTCACTAAAATACTCTTCCCCTTTACTTCTCTTTTCTTTCATTTTGATGCAAATCCACTGGTTTTTAGATTCCTCTACCCCCCAACCCAAAGGCATTTTTTTAATTAGTGAAGTAATATCGCTCCTGTTAAGCTTAATGGAAGATAAGATACTATATATAACCAAGTGCTGCCTTTAATTTAGGCTGGAAAATTATTTGCAATCTGACATTAGACTTTTTGTAGCCAGCTGTCTTGCGGAAAAGAGGTCATAAATAGGAAGCTCCAAAATGCTAATTATAGTGAGTACAATTAAAGTCTATTAAGAGTTATACCGTACAAATTGAAACTTTTTCCCTTCATTGTGCAAACTGCTGCAAAAAAAGGATGAAGTCTGTTAAGCACGAGGGTTTTCAAAACAAAAGTCCCTACTTAAATTGCCTTTTGATGAAGGGTTTTGTATTTTCTTGATACCACTATACTCCGCATACTGGTAGTTTGGCTGCAGTTTGAAATCAGTGAAAGGCACAGATAATTTTCTTAGTTGTTGTGGACTGTGGAGTCTTGCATTTTGTGACTATTCTTTGATGAAAAAAACTGAAGACAGGACTGAAAGCTTCTATTGTTTGGCCCTACAGTAGACTGAGGAACAAATTCTGTGGAGTTATAGACTTCAAGAGGAACTTGAAGTGCTCCTTTGACAGCCACAAAAAGATATCCCTCACTGCCTGAAAGCAAATGCTGCCTATTTCATTGTGCTTGTGTTTAATAAACAGATTTAACTCCATCAGCTTCTCCAGGTACTGGGGTGGAAGAAATCAGACATTCAAGGAGCCTCTGCTTTGCTGGATAACCATTCCATTACTTCGTTTTTTAGTGTCTTGAGGCTTCTTAACAAAATACTTCCCTTGAAAGGGTTTAATTTTTTGATTGTGTTTTTTTTTTTATTTTTATACGCTGACCTTTAGTATCCTCGTCTTTGTGGCAAACAAATAAAAAAAATTGCTGAGCCATCGTGAAATGGTGACAGTAACTAAATATTCCAGAAAAATCGGTGCTACTATCCTTTTGGTGCATGCTTTAGAACTCACTGCGGTAGTTTTGAAAGTAGAGTTTCCCACATCAGATTCTTTAATTAAAAAAAAAAAAAAAAAAAAAAAGGGAGTAAGAATCTGTCAAACTTAGGATAATGATGCTGAGGTAGACGTTAACATTTGTATTTCTGAAATTAAGGCATTTACTCTGAAAGCTCTTGAAAATGAGGTAGTGAGAAATTGGCAAGTGTCCATGCTGCCTACTTTCTTTTATTCATGCATATGGATATCAGAGGCTAGCCAGAAATCTAGCCAAAAAAAAAAAAAATCCTCCTTAATCCTTCTGAACTGAATTACAGCTAGGTTTCCAAAAAGGCTGCTTTTATTTTGTTGTTGTGATGAAAAGAAATTATGAGGACATAGAAAATACTTGAAGAGCCAAGTGAACATAATTTTCTGTTGATCTTCAGAAAAATACGTATTTTTTGTGAAACACATTGGAAATAGGAAGTCTGATGTTTAATGTTGTTTTGTCAGGCTTAGCCTGATACTTCCAAATCTGCTAACTAGACAGAGTAGTAGGGTTTTCTCCCTTCCCCACTTACATAATAAAACCAAGTATTGATTCCAAGTTCACATTTAACAAAGGCATTACTAACTATGGTCTGATTTTACTCACTGATATTAAAATGTTCATCTTTATTAACAATTAACTTGCTGCTTGGAATGATTTGGGCATCAGCCATAGTCTTGCAGAATCAAAATATGTCACTCCCAGGCACCGAGTCCTCCATGTTGAATTGAAGTGTGTTACTCTGTTGTCTTCTTGTAGGTGACATACGCAACGACTTGTACCTGACATTAGAGAAGGGAGACTTCGAAAGAGGTGGGAAGAGTGTGCAGAAGAACATTGAAGTGACCATGTATGTACTCTATGCAGATGGAGAAATCTTGAAGGTAAGTGCCCATTTCCTCTGACCTTCAGGTTGCTCTGTGTTGTTCTTGTTTTGTTGTCTCTGATGAAAGGGAAGTGCTAAACTAAAAGTTTAACAAAACACAAGTTTTGAAACCATATATTACAATGAAGGAAGGGGTCAGTTACAAATTTGAAAGGATTTGGAGCACTTTATATGGGAATAGGGGACTTGAAGAAAATATTCATAAACTGAAAAGCTTATGTGATTTCAAAATATGTCAGTAACTACAGCAAAAAGGAAAATTTAGAGTAACTGTAGTCAGAGAAAAAATTAGTCAGAAAACTGAAGAGTATAGGAGAAATATCTAAAATTAAATAATGTGTGTCATACAACATGATGAAATGTGATTAGAAGAGAGACTTTTAAATCTCGGTTGCTGGAGTTGTGGTACCGAATGTAGTTTAGGAAAACAAATTTTAGTAGCCTTATTTCCAAAATCTGGGATGGCTCCATTCCAGCTGTGCATGGTGTTGTTTGATGCTTTTCTTTCTTCCTCTTTTTCTTGCTTTTAGTGTTATTGAAGAGAAGAAGGTAGATAAGTCAGCTTTGTGGGAGGTTGGAGGGTGTGAGGACAGACAAGTAAACAGGAAGCATTTCAACATAAAAATCTGTCAGAGGTGGAGAAATGGCTGCATTAAAACGTATTGATCATAACTTCACCCTACCTTACTTTTTTTACCTCCACTGCAAAAAAAAGTCCTTTGTAGCAATGATCGTACAAGTCTCACACTAATGTGCTTGTTTACCAAATTCATTGTCACAGTCTGATTTGTTTATTTGAAAGGAGAACTTTTCATTTATTGCTACAATTGCTTGAGATTTTATTAACAGTAAGGGATACCTCTTGGAAGGAGCTGGTTTATGCTCAGAACTGTTGCAGAAGAAAGATCCCAGTCCTCTGCTGTTTAATTGCATTAGGCATACCTTTCAAATTGACTGGCATATGTTTAATCATCACTTTATTTCACAGCCGTTTGCCAAAGACTAGTGTAGGTCTTTACCCTCCAGACTTCACTATCAGCTTCCTCAAATGCTAATGTACATAATGGTAACTAATTGTACTGTAACCGTGGCTAATGTGTAAGTATAAAAGCCATATAATTTCAATATCAGTCTTAACTTCAGTGGTTTCGGTCGGAGTGGTCATTCACAGATACTGAGTTATTTTTTTTTCTTACCCTTACTTGTTACAACTGCTGTAACAGTACTTCAGGGCTGTACCTGGGGGAATGGACAGACGTGCCGCAAACAAAGAATAGTAAACGGTGGTCAGTCCTATTAGAAGAAAATCAGGTGAACATTTGTCATAAAGGAAAGACTTTACATAGAAAGGATCTTTTGTGCTTTTGAAATTTAAACTACATATTTAAAAGAAAATCTTTATACTAGTTGTTATTTTTTTGCTACTCTGTATATTTGCAGCCAAAGCAACAAAGATACTTGATTTACCTCAGGGAGATCTTTGGTTCATGAAGTCTATTGATACTTAAGATCCCCACTGTATTTCAAACATGCAGACAATAGAACTTTTCTACACAGGAAATACTCAAAGGTATAAGCTGTCATAGCTACTGAAAAATAAAAGGGCCATCAAGGACAACAGAAATTGTACTTCCCTTTAATTTGAACTCCTTGCTACTTAGGTAATTTGTATTCTCTCTTAACTGCAGAAAAGAAGTAGCAAAATAACAGCTAAAATGGAGTATCAGTTGAACCAAATATAGAGATATGGTTCAAAAGTGCCAAATGACAATTTGAAGGAATAATCACATACACATAAGAGAAGGCAGCAGCTACCTAGAATTAAGTTTGCAAATAAATCATGTCTGCCCTTTTTTAATCACTGCCATAGTTTCATAGTTTCTACATGATTTAAAAATTCTGCAAATTCATCTCTCAAAGTTAAAGCAAATGAGACAGCTGTCTGGAATTGCTTCTAACTTAGTGGGTTATCTTATCATTTGATCGTAACATCCTTATCCTGGTAGAAGACAATTGAGTCTATTAAGCGTACATGGCTGCTTTTAAGTCTGTAGAAATGCCCTGAAAATTGTATCAATTCAGCTCCTTAAACTGTAGATTTCCAGTTTGTCTCAACTTTCAGAGTGCAGATTTTGGTTGTAAAATACAGGCAGAGTTTGTGCTCAGAATCATCCCATGCTTTAGGTAAAAAGCTCTGAGAACAAAGAGCTCCACCAGTTCCAGCCATCCCCCCTGTGCAGTGGGTTTAGGAAAGTCTAGGTACACATTTTCCTAAAACCTAATACAGGTCTGTTAGGCTGGGTTATGGGTTAGTATGCCACTAGGTAGATACTGGTTTACTTTTCATATTAAGAATTTGTTTTTAAACCCTAAGTGGCTTTTTTTCCACTGCTACCATCAAGTTTATGTAATCTTTGGTATGGAGACCTCGAGCAGTGTGTGATGACCTGACGTTTCCCATTAGAAGGGAATGGGTCTTGCCTAAAGACAGAATAATTTAATTCCTAGATGAAGCAGCTGTAAAGAGACTGCTAGATCAGGGCTTTCATTTCAGTCATTTGGCATAATTTTTAAAAAAGACAGAAGAGTGCAACAAGAGGAGTCTCATAACCTTTTAGTGTAAATGTTAAGGATAAGGTGTATATTGCATAGGGCTTGGGGAAGTACTGAAGGGAATTGCTTTGTGTGGGTTCCCTATCCCTTGAACGATAACTTCCATGACCTGAGGTTGCTTTCACAGTCAAGTGTAGCTATTTCTTTCATTTCATTTCTCTAATTATAGCAGTAATTTAATAACTTCCAGTAGGTGATATAGTAGAGAAGCCAATTTAAAAACTCCCTAGTTTACAATAGTATGGGCAGAACACCAAAAGTTCAATCACTGACCCGAAAGCGCTACTGTTCGTGGTTGAAATGTCCTTTACTGTTCCTGACCTGTGGCCTTTCCAAAGCCAAGGCCACCAAGTGAGAAAGTGTGAGTTGGACAGTATGGTAGGGAAATGGCCACAAAATTTTAATCTGATTTTAGAATAAAATCTCTGAACTTCTCCTGGCCAGCAGCACAATTCAAATCTGAATTATGCCTTAGTGAAGACTTAGAAAAACTATACACAGTGTTAATGAGAATAGTCTGTCTCAAATCCTTACTGCTTTTGAGTATATATTGGTCCAGAAATAGTTCTGTTGAAAGCAGTGGAATCATTCCCAGAATACAGTACCGTTCAGAGTGACAATGAGTATTTCCTTTTCAAAATTTCCCTTTACTCAATTGTCAGTATCTTTCAATATATTCTGAAAAGATAAAAACAAACAAACAAACAAAACCACTTGACATTTCTTACTACTTTTTTCTGTTCCAGTAGCAGGAATATCTAGTTAACTGCGAGGCATACCTCAAGTGATAAGATTATTATCTGATGCTTTTACTAGTTTAACTTCCCTTGCTTGCCTCTGCCCCCTAATTCACCTCTACGTATCAGTCTCACAGCAACTATGTGTACAGAAGCTAGATTCATATTTCTGTTTTGCAGATTACCATTCCAAATGAAACAATCCTCCCTCCTCAGGCTCTAGATTGTAGCATGAACACATAGAAACCAGGTTAACAATCATAAGGCAAAACTCTTCGCTTAGTCATTTATTTAAAGTTTATAGCATGAAACAGCATTCAAAGACTGACCATTTGTCTGCCAAGGAAGGGAATTTTTTGAGGCAATAGAAAAATGCTCATATAAAAATTTGAAATTTTACTGTGCCTTGCAGAAGAAATACAGATACTTTCAAATGCTTTCTCTTAAGAACCTGACACAGAACAAGGTTTCAGAATTGCTGTGTGGAAGCCCAGCAAGTTACTCGTATTATAAAATATAACTGGGATACTGGATATTGTAGGCATTTGGGTTTTTAGTACTGCCACCACTGCTCTCACCCCAACCTGTTACTATCTGCAGCAGTGAATTCTTGCTGCAGTATTAAAGGAGTCACCTTTAGCTTGGGATAGTGGCACATGCCATATGGTTACTGGGACTTGAGAGGACTTCTGTGAATGTATATTACAGTCACTTAGTTCAGATTAGAGCCTTTATAATGAATCTCTGAACAGGGAGGCTATTCTTGCATTGAATCCCGAAATTCCAGAGAACTTTACTTTCTTTTTGGGCTCCTTCACAAATTCTCAACTTTCTTGAAGCCAGAAGGATATTAGCACAGCCTGAACCAACTGGGCCTGGTTAGTGGGGCATACTTGACTTGATCAACATTGTCGGTGTTTTCTTGGGATAGAATACAGAGGTGCCTTGGAGAAATAACTGTTCTTGTCATGATAATATTCCATGTGGGGTATTTTTACATCAGAATTTATATTGCATGTGTTGTTCTGGGTCTGTTTAGCTTCTGTTTCTTCCTGGCTTCATTATCCTTAGAGATGCTAAAAGTGAAGAATCTCTGTCTTTTTTTCTGCATCGTTTTATAAGATGTTGTATCTCTTTGGATCACTTTTTAAGTGCTGGGCCTAAAACATGGGTTAATGCTTACATAAAAAACCAATATGCTTCCTGCTCCATGTCTTCATTACAAAGGACTTCTTACTGTCCTTATTTCAGGTCTTTCTTCTAACTTATTTCACTTGTGTTCTCGGCAAGGGTTTCTGTGTTTCCTAAATAGTATCAGTTCATGTTTTTCTTCATCTCTATTTTGAGAATACATGGATTGGTCAAGATCTCTGGGCTTTTTCTATCTAAAAGCAGAAATTTAGATCTCATTATTTTTTTTAGGTGATGACTATTCAACAGAAATTATTTGCTTGCTACTTATGAAGTAACCTGATCAGAATTTTCTGGGATACTTGGTGAGGCTGGATGGTTGTAGTTTCAAAAGATCAACACTTTTAAGACCTTGAAAAGTTCAGGAAGCACTTCTAAAGAGATACTGAAGCAGAACTCTAATTCTGTGGTATTTTCAGAAAAGTCTAATGGTACCAGTGATGGTCCTTTTTTTTTTTTTTGGACTCATTTCTGTATATTTGGATTTATGTTTGTTTTTTTTTTTTTTATCTATTTATGCTTGATAGAAAACCTACCTTAGATAATAATTCAAGTTACTGGAGTTCATTCAGTAACATAGGTCTCCTGGTTAATCCTTTGAGTCAAACCACAGTTTAAAGATCTCTTCAAAAGTTTCAGATCTCATCATGTCTGAGTTTCTGCTTCTGACTCTTCCTATATGTCTACAGAAAGATATGATTTATATAAAGGTTATCACCATGTAATAACATGACTCATCTGTAGTGATGTGATGTCTTTTAAATTGTTTTGTTTTGTTCCAGGACTGCATCAGCCTGGGCTCAGGAGAGCCGAGCAGGAGTGCATACCATTCTTTTGTCCTTTATCACAATAACAGCCCTCGATGGGGTGAAATCATCAAGCTGCCCATCCCTATAGACAGATTCCGTGGCTCCCACCTCCGGTTTGAGTTCAGACATTGCTCCAGTGAGTGCAAAATACAACCAAGAGAAATCCCAAAAAGCTGAGGTCTTTCCACTGGCGGTTAATATTTGGGTGAGGCTGATACTGGATAGAAAGCACGAAAAGGGCAGCCTAAAGTACAGCGAAGGTGCACCGCTCATTAGCCAGGTTCTACGTTTATGAAACAGCACATTAAAAACATTGTGAACAATCGGTGCAGGGCAAAAAATTTCGTAGATTTTCTCCCCTGCTGTCCTTTTGCTGTGTTTTCCTGTAGAAATTTTCCTTTACAGCATGTATATTTTGTATTTTACTGTTTGGCATGTTTGTCTTTTTTTTGAGGCTTGTCAATCATTTGCACAAAATGAGACATAGTGCAGTATATGTTGATTCTTATGTAACCTGCATGCTTTTTGTGAGGCCTGCAGAGGAGTTAGTGAGTAACCTCATTGTATACATGGACAAAAAGAACATGTACATCTATGCTTCCTTATTTCCATCTCTTGATACAGCAAAAGACAAGGGAGAAAAGAAGCTCTTCGGTTTTGCATTCACCCCATTGATGAGAGATGATGGCACTACCTTGTCAGATGATATCCATGAGCTTTATGTTTATAAGGTACTGATTTTTCACTGCAGACTTTTCACCTACTCATCTCTGCTTCAGTTTAAATAAGTAATGTCATTACATTCTTTTTTCCACCTTATTAGAGATATATGAGGAATAGATTAATAGTAGCTTCAAAATTTTATAAATTCAGACTCACATGACTAGGTGGGGATGCAGCCTTCTATTCTAGGTACAGCTTACCTTTTCAGGTAGTGATCATTTCTCTTCTGTTAATCCTATCCATTTTGAATTCAGACGTGCTAGGGTTCATAAGCATTCAGCACTTTTACCAGCCTTATTGGCTGGTAAAAATTAGTAAAATGGCATTACTTTGTGCCTTTATATGATGAAACAATGCTGTGCTTCCAATGCCTCACATTACAATGCTGCAGCTTGGCACGTCTGTATCAAGGGGCTTGGGGGATTGTTTGGGTTTTTTTCTTCCTGCTGATTTACCTTGATTTATTTCCTCAGCATGATTTTCAGCCAATGACACTACTGTGGACAGTTAGAAGATGATGATGATAATTTCTAAAGAGTCAGTGGTTAGGAGGCCTCACTTTCTAAAGCTGGGTCTGTTTTGTGGCTGCACAGGCCCTGAAGGTGGCAAGCGCAGCTCTTCTTAGAGATGTTCTTATGCACTCAAAAGATTAATATAAAATATTTATTATAATATTGATAATAAAGAGATACTATATATATCTCTTTTGCACTCTAAAAGTAGTGTTGGGCAGCTGCTGTCAGGGTGTATGTGAGTGGAATGGGACAGACAAGGTACAGTTCTGTTTCTTGTCCTGTCCCTGCAGTGTGATGAGAACAGCACGTTTAACAATCACGCACTGTACCTGGGGCTGCCGTGCTGCAAAGAGGACTACAATGGCTGCCCCAACATCCCTTCCAGCCTCATCTTCCAGCGCAGCACCAAAGAGACCTTTTCGGTCTCCACGCAGCTTTCTTCTACTAAACTGACCCAGAATGGTAAGTAGCTGGTCCTTCAAAATTCCCCAAGGCAACAGGGGTTATGGAGAAGAGAGCTAAGATGGGTATGTTGTGCTCTGTTTATTTTACTAAACTGGGATTTTTTAGGAAATAAGGATATTGACAGATGGCAGAGAAGCTCCAGGCATGAAACTTAGTGTAAGCGCAAGAGAAGGGTAATATGTTAAAGCCAAGTTAATTTTCATTAAATGATTGAAGAACAAAGAATTGAATGTTAGCACTTCTACATAATCCAAAGTTTTTGTTCAGTTTTTATGGAGTTACTAAGTCGATAAAAAAATTATTGGCAATGTCCCTGAAGTACAGGAAGACAAAAGTAGATTGTCCACAGTGCAGTGTCAAGTCACATAGGGAAAATTTTGCAGTCTTCTCTCCTTTTACAGTACTTTACCATTCCTCCATTCATTTCTCTGTCAGTAGTATTAGAATTACTCCATGTTTTCCTTCTTGTTTTCCCTTTTATTTTATTTTTGTTTTCTGAGAAGTGTGAACTGCACCAGAAGCAGGAGTGTAACATAATGAATCTGTGGCAGGTCTGGGGCTGCCATTCTTCTCTGTGTATGGATTCTAGCTCTTTCTCTCACTGTTCTGCAGTGGATTTGCTCGCCCTATTGAAGTGGAAAGCTTACCCAGATCGTGTGATGGATATTCTAGGAAGACTGAGACATGTCAGTGGCGAGGAAATTGTTAAGGTACTATTTGAAGTAATTCTTTGGATGTATCTGTGACAGCAAGTGAATTCAGACCTGCAGCGCACTTTTAAATGTTCCCTCTTACTGTACTTTTTGATTCATGCTGTGAATTCTCAGACCATATGAATTGGATTTTATTTGGACATGCAAATGAACATGAAGATATGCTCCAAAAATTAATGGATAGTTAGTCCTTGGGATAAAAATAGAGCTAATCCTTATTAAAATCCCTCACCTATGTGCTGTGCGTCTCAAGGCCTCAGCACCCATGGTGCCCCTCCTGCTGAGCCACACTGCTTGCTGATGCAGGCATAGCCACTGGTAGTGGTGTTTGTGCAGACTTAGCTGTGCCAGCAGTAGTCTCTAAAGGACATACTCTGAAATGGTGTGAGTGGGATTGGTCATTTCTAGAGCAAAGAAAAGAGAGCTGACTTGAAAACTTGGCCTTTTCAAACAGCTAATAGAGTTGATCTGTATTTCTATTTTGCAAATATGTCCCAAACGTCTGTATAGAAGAGAAATGTGAAACCTGAAAGTTAAGTTTTGCTCGTTGGCCAGTGACCCACCCTGTGAAGCCCCTTTCCTGTCCCCGCACTGTGAAGTAGAGCTGTTGTCTTGAGCACCAGTTGTTCTCCACTGTATCTAACCTGTCAGTAACCCCATCTCCCATCTGACAGTCTCCTCACGTTTTGTAACCACTGTTGCTCTACCTGCCTGTCCTTTGTGTGACCTGAAGCTTCTTAGGTCAAAGAAACTTCAAAATGTGTTTGAATGCTTGTGGTCTCAGCATGAAAAAAAGTGCATTCCAGATACCCCTTTGATAATTTTAGTGTGCTGAGAACTCTCCCTAGAATTTACTTCTATAAATCTAGAAGTAAAAGGAGATGTTTTGTAACAGGAAATAACCAAAGAGAAATCCCATCACATAATTAGTAGTTCATGATAAAAGGCACTTCACTATAACTCATTTGAATATTGCCATGTCTTGAATGTTCATCTATATTATAACTTCATAACAGTAACAGAAGAGGACAATACTCCACTTATACTGGCGTACTTCAAAAACGTCATGTTTTGTACACTTTGTTTGCAGAGCAGTACAAGTATTTGTTTTTTACAGAGAAAAGTATAAAAATATATGGTTTAAATTATTTCATGGAGAGCAGTAATTGATCCCTTCCCTGAAACAGCTGCCATTTGGCATTGTGAGATATGAAGAACAGAACACAATAATTCAGAAAAAAAGAAATTTTATCCTCTTAGAGACTTCATAAATTGTTATATTTTATTTCTTGTTTTCCACATCAAAATTTCAATTAGAATAGATGAGGAAGTCATGAGAGAATGTGCAGTTGACTTTATCTTCAGCATTCTTCTTCATGGTCATTCCTTCTGTGCTTTCAGGAAAGAAAACCACTGACTTGTCAGCATTCAGTAGCTGCAGTGTCATGGATGAAAGAATCAATTGGCAATATGTAACTTGACCCAATTAACGCTTGTTATAAAAGCTTTACTTTCTGCCATATAACCAAAGTCTCCAATATTAAACATAATTTGGAGCAGCAGCTAATGTGTTTCCAAGTCTGAAATGTGATGAGAACAGAATCTTGTACACTCTAATGGTAGGAGGATGAGAGTTGTTTTGCCACTGTTGTTAGGTAGCACTTTCAGTGAGCTTTCTGTGAAAGGAACACTCAGTTCTGTTTACAAATCAGGCATGTGGTACATATTTCTTATTTTTTGTTTTTCTGTCAGTTTTGTTTAGAAATACTCCTTGTAAAGAGAACAAATTCTTCTTAGTATAAACAAATGAAAATCTGTCATATCTTATGGATGAACCTGAAGTGGTTTGTCCTTGGCAAGTGTTTCACAAAGATATCAATGTGGAAAAATTAAAGCAGGGGGGAAATAGCCTTTTAGATACAATTGAATTTGAAATTCTTTGTTTATTCATGTCATTTTAGTTCCTGCAAGATATTCTTGACACGTTGTTTGTTGTTTTGGATGACAACACAGAAAAGTATGGTCTGTTGGTCTTCCAGTCTTTGGTAAGCTGCTGAATTATTACTTTTCTTTACCTCATGGTCAATGATTTTTAAGTTTCTTATTATCATATAGTTAGTATGTTACTTTCATGAAATATTCAGCTGGGTCCAGGTTAATGTTTTCTGTAATAATCTCAGGTGAGGAAAGTGAGACAGCCTCAACAGATCCAAGGACAGCAATATTTGCTGTGACCTGAGAGGTGCAAATGATAACATCTAATGCAACTGCTGTTTAAAGAATCTCCTGTATTTCATTGTTTCTTAGCTTGTAACTTGCCTATGGAAACCTAAAACAATGTGTGATTCCCTTTAGTATGGGTTCACTTTCTCATCTCCCACAGGTATTCATCATCAATCTGCTGCGTGACAGCAAGTATTTTCATTTTCGACCTGTGATGGACACTTACATTCAGAAGCACTTTGCAGGAGCACTGGCTTACAAGTAGGTTTTGTTTCTCCATCACTTCAAGAGATGGTATCAACAAGCTTTTGAATGATGTCACTGTCAGAATTATAACCTTCATGGTAGCAGTGGTTTTCAAAAGTAGAACTACTCAGATAAAAGTTTTCCAACACAGTTGTGCAGAAAAGCTGCTGAGTGTCACTTGTGGCTCAGAGTGAGCAGACTTTGGAATTTATCTTGCCTTTCTGATCTGGTAAGTGTTACTCCTTGGTTTTTAACTGAAGAGACAGCAACAGCTCCTTATTGGTCTGTACTAGTGAGCTACCAAGAGCATATACATTTTTAGTCTTAAGGATATTGGGATATAAGACCTGTGTGAAAGCTTAGAGAACTATAATTGCCTCTTCCAGGGTAGACTGCTATTCATGTAAGATGATGTTCTATCTAATTAAAGTAAATGTGTAATTTCTATAGGTCAGAAACTTAATACTGTCACTTTGAAGATACTACCTTATTCTCTAGTATTCTTTTTTGAGTTTTGCATCAGAGAGTAAGGCAGATTTTTGAGACCAGGAGCAGTTATTATTCAGGGTGGTGTTTTTCCTTTCTTTTAGACCATTTCTTTTGTATGTTTCAGCATACTCTTATCTTTGGCACAATAAACTGTCAAAAATAGCTTAGAATTGGCTTTGATTGTTTTAAGCCATTCATATTTTGGTGTAATAAAAAAGAGATTAAAAATATTCTATCAATGGCAGGTAAACTGTAGATACTATAAAACACTAGGAGGCATAGTCATGTTCAGAGGTTCTGCTATGTGCTAATTATCACCTCTTTCAGACAAATGATTTTTGGTAGTCTGATATCTGAACTAAACCATGTTTTTTAACTCTAAGTTAATCCAAATGGTATTGTGTGCTTTGGAAAATAGATGTGTCTATTTTCTTTGTGGTCTTAGTTTCTAAAAACTTACTAGGGGACATCTGGAATTTCTTACTAAAAGAAAGATTGTGTTTTGGCCTTAGAACTATATTGCATGCCTTTGTCAAAGCTATCTCTTTAACATCTTTTTGATGTTCTCTTTGTGTTCCTCATAGTCTTAAGTCAATTACAGAGAAGAAATTACTTTCTAACTTTGAAACTTAAACGTTTCTATTATCCAAATTCAGTAGTTAGGACCACTGAAATGGAGTGAAATGAGACTATTTGATAGATTTCTTCCTAAAACAAAAACATTTCTTTCCCAAGTAATTTTATAATGGTGCTGAAGGTTCCTCTTCTTTTCTTTTTTTGTTCTGTTCAGAGAACTGATCCGGTGTTTGAAGTGGTACATGGACCGTTCTGCCGAGCTGGTACGCCAAGACCACATCCAGGAAGCAATGAGGGTAAGTATTCAGCAAAAGGATCCCTGTGTCTGTTCCACCTGAGACTACAAAAGGGATGGAGAACCTCTAGATAAAATCAAGGGTGGTCTAGCACTGACTTCTTAGGTGTTCAACAAGATTTTTTAAGAATATATATATATTTTGCCAAAATTGTAATTTTAGGGGGAGATTCACTCTTGTGGAGAAAAAAACGGAGGAAAAATTTGTCACCTTAAGTCCATTTGAAACTCTGTGGAGAACTTAAGTGCGAATTCCATGGAGTATACATGCACTGCCATTTATATATGTGCTGTACAGCTTGCAGTTCAAGAAGCAGTTATCTTTAGTGTATTAGGCACAGGTGCTGTGGATCAAAGAGCCACTTCTCATTTCTGGCTGTGACACAGCTTCATTGTATTATGAGTTGAAGTTCTGGAGTATTTTAAGAAGCAGCTAAATGAGCCTTTAACTGGCTGGAAATTCTAAACAGCTCTCATTGCACAGGACCTGGTCACAGCTGCGCCATGAGAGTGATCTCGCTGGAAAACACAGCTTTCTAATGGTGTGTGAAAGAAAGGGAATATTTTTTGTGCCATTACAGAGAAATCAGACAATAAAGCATCAATTTTACCGTGTGTCAGTTGTAAGACAGAAAGGTAGTGTGTCAAGTAGATAAGTAGAAGATTTCGAAATTTGCAGAAAGATATATTTCTTTGAGTGAATATCAGTCTGTACCCTCATACTCTGAGTGGGCATATATCCAAACATTCGAGTATGGGCACTTTTAGAACGAGTAGCAGTGGTGGAGATCAGCACTTTCTCACTTCTTCATGTTTGTACAAACAGATGAAGCATCTCACAGGTGAAGTACACACATGTACATAGACTGCTCCTTTAATTTCTGGCACCCATCTGGGAAAGTCAGATGTTGTTCCTTGTAAATCTAGCTATGCTTTTGTCTCGGCATATGGTTCAGGCTGTATTGTGGCTCTCTTTCTTCTCATATTATTCTTCTTTGTTTTGCCTCCTTTAGTCTATTTTAGTCAGTGTTTTTGCAGAAGTGATTTTTATTTTTTGAGGATCCTTGTTCCATTTGGATGGTATGGCATCATCGTCATCAAGTAGCTTTCAAGATCTCCTGTTAGGGTCACATCCTGGTACTTAAAAGGGCATTATACCAGTGCTTGCTTTGTCTTTTGTAGATATTTACATACCTAGACTCTGCTTCGTAATACTTTTCAACCACAGATCATAGGGAATGGCTCTTGACTGTGTACATTCATGATGGATATACAGACATCTCAGAGGATTCTGATTTTTGACCCTGACATTAGCAACTGGTGTTCTAGACTATTTCTAAAATTACTTCTCTCATTCATGACTGCTTTTAGTCTTCAAAAAACATCTATGAAACCTGGAGAAGCTATAACCAAAAGGATGTCTCTGCCTGTGCCAGACCACATGACACCATGTTCCTTTATTACGCCCTGTAACAAGCTGCACATAAGCTGCATCCAGACACAGCTGCCTATTTCTCCTTAGAGAATTCTGTAACAAAGTGTCCATGTTTGGCTTCACAGACAGTTTTACTTTCCCTGCTGGTCATGGCAAAACCTAGGAACAGTCTCTAGGAGATGCCCTTTCAACTTCAGCTATCTTTCCAGTAGTAGAATCATGGTGGATTTGGCCTAGATTGAGGAACCCACGGAAAAAGCAAGACCTTTTCTTCCTCAGGAAGTCACATCTTTATATCAGTGTTTCGGAGCTGAACCACACAGAGCACGCATCAGACTTTTTTTTAGAGACTTTGTGGTACTGCATACCGTTACGATGGGGCTTTACATGAGCCGGCGGTACCCAAAGGGTCAGGCTTCCCAGACGTTTTTTTCAAAACCCTGGACGTACTTTCTGAGCCCTGCCAGCCAGTGAGCTAGGGAAGGAGAGTTTTGGGATTATATTCTCAGCCTGCCTTTTGAGACTGCGGACTCCTCCAAATTGTTGTCTTCACCGTGAATTTTAAAAAATGAAACATCAGTCTGTTGCTTTTGATACCAGTCTGTCTCCGGACTTACTGATTACCTCATTCAGAAATAATTGCCTTACTTGGTGATTTACATTTTCTAAGTCTCACTTTTTCTAAGAATACCAGAAAATTACTGGTGTGATGATAATTGTTCTGCCCTGGTCAGCCTGTCTGTGGGACTTGCTCCCTCTTTTACTGCTGATGCCTTGAACTTTGCCCTAGGTCTTTTATCTGCTCTCACGAGGCTCAAATTGGTACCTTCACTTGAACTTTTGCACTTTTCTTTCTTAAAACTATATAGTAGATGCTTCTTATACTTGAAGCAAGTATCCCGTTTCCTGAGAAAAACACATTGACAGCAGCAGGAAGAAGTTTGCTAGGTGCTCTTGAATAGTGAAGTGGATGCTTAGAGGCTACTGAAAATGGCTTTTATTCCCTTTGGTTAGAACAGTGAAAGAGATTCAGACTGTCAGAGCTAATCCTTTTCGCGTACATTGTACCTATGATAAAGTTACCCATTCTACATAGTCCAGATTCTTTCCTAAAGTAATCTTTGAGTTTCTTGAGTTAGGAAATTAATCTGTGCTTTTTCTTAAAGCAGCTCTGTACAAGGTTGATTCATCTGGTCATACTGTGAACATCAGGTGTGGTTTGCCTTTTGAGTTGAACAGACTCTTCATCTCTACAGCAGAGGAGACCATATATGCAGCTGTACTGTCCCCAAGACTGCCCACTGGATTTATGAGTATGCTACAGTGAAACCATCAAAATGTTGTCTGAGCATAATCCATGCAGTTTTAGGTGACACTACGACTCTGAAGAGTATCTTTATCCATTAGACCTGCAGAATAACCACAGAAATTTATCCACTTTTTACCTCTGCTATCATAGAAGCTTCTAACTGATGCTGCTTTTGTCATAGTGGTCTTTTGGTTTTAATTCTCCCGAGACATGCAGCCAACCACCAGGTAATCTGCGCCAGTTGGGATGTGCTGTTCCTGTACTCAGAGTGAGCGTGCGTGTGGACAGTCACTCAGAGAGCAAAGGAAGGTGACCCAGCAGCCAGTGGGAGTTCTTTGAGATGCATTATCTATATGCACACTTTTTTACTCCTTTTCTTGTCTCTCCTGGAACACCAGTGGTGGAATTCAGGGGTTGGTTGGTTGAGAGGAAATAGGGTTATGATGCTGTTTGTCCATAGAAGTTCTGCTTGTGCTGTACCCTGAGTCTTTAGGTTGCTGGTCACTGGTGAGTGGTGTGTGCTCACCTGTTGTGTGAACATGCATACAGGGTGCGTTTTAAGAAACTCCCTTTAATTTGGTACTGATTTTTCTGTGTCCTGTCAAACATAATAGAATAATGTGATTTTGTAAGAAGAGTCAAAGTTAGTCCGGGTGCTGGTTTGTGCTAACAAGTCTTGGTTTGTTCTCACAGCTTCAGCAATGTGTCTGCAAACACAGAGCTCTTCAGTCACTTGCCTTTGTGGGTTGATTTAAGGCAGCAGTTCTGGTTATCTGGGCTGAGGCTGTAGAGTGTCTCTGAAAACCTGCCATTTCACTTGCCACAGAGAATTACAGAGTTTCCTACAGAAATCCTCTTATTCATTGCAAAACACAATCTTCATGTTAAAATTATGAGCTCTCAGGTTAGAATTAGGGTTGTCTGTACCAAATCTATAAAACATCTCCTATGAGCACTTGACTTGCCCTATTTCATGTTACCAGCAGAGATGGTAACCTTAAAGAGCTGGCTCTTGTGAACCAATTGACCTTTGTCTGGAAACTATCCGGAAACATAGTGTTATTTCCCGAGGAAGGAAATTTCTTGGTGTAAGAAAGTTTCACTGGGAGATGTTTTCATACAGAAGTATAAATAATGTACTGCCAAATTACCAAAGTTGCCATCATTCCTGGGAAAAAAAAAATGGCTGTAAGTATCAGTGGCATTTTGAAATCTGTGAAGGCTTTATGAGGAATTTCACATTTCCATTCTTTATCCTTAAAGCTGTAGCATTCGGTAGCTTACAACAGGTTGCATATATTGTGGTGCTTCAATTAGAGGCATGTTATGGATGGGAAAGTATTTGATGAGGGCAAAATTTGTATTTGAATTAGCTTTCCGTTTCCAAACATTGAAGCAAAACAAGTGGAATGAGTACTACTAACGTTTCTGTACAGACTGTGATGACCAAAGCTCCCGCCTGTCCCATGTGCTGAATTTTGAGGATATCATCAAAATATGCATCATGTCTTCCCTTAATCCTGCTTTAATGGTGTATCATGTTAAACACTAAGGGAAGGACTGAAGTCTAAGTGGCACTGTTACTTGGTATATTTCCATGTTGAGAGTTGTGTGCACCAGTGATGAGAAGGGCCTTGTTGCTGTGTGCAGTGTGACACTGCTGTATTAGTGTCTGAGGCTTGTTACAGGCTGCACAGAACAATGTTTTTTTGTTTGTTGACAATGATGCCAAATAAATGGAGTTTATTTATTTAATGCCATTTACAAAGTTTTAGGTAAAGATGTTTAGGTTGCAAATTCAGACTTAATCTGAACTTGTCATAGAGCAAATTATCAATCTACTACAAAAAGATCCGATTTGCCAGTCCTTTGCAGCATCTATCACACGTTGTATAATCGTATTAAATTCCATCTTCTGTGTGTGTTATCCTCCCTCTGGTGGGTGATCTCCCACGTTTCATGTGTGGTGAAAAAAGAAAAACACTTCCATTTGTCATAGCTCAAACTAAAAAGATAATCACTATGGTACCACTGCTTCCTGCTGTTACAGGCCGCAGAGGGCTTCACATGCTGCTCCTGTCCTCTTCTCTTTCTGCATATGCATTTGTTTCTGTTTGTACATGTAGCTGCCAGGAACAAAGGTGAACCTCACTGTTGTGTTCATGTTGAAAAGTAGAACCTCCTTTTTCTAGGAAATCCTTCTTCTGTTCCACTGACAGTCCATTTGCCTTAATCTAGGTTAGCTAACTCAAATACTTAAAAGTAAAATCTGAATGAAAACAGAACAGCTTCTTCAGACACTTACAGTCATTGTGCCAAGTCATGAGAAAACGAGAATTCTCTTACCTTCACCAGGATTTTCCTCAAATTTGTCTATTTAACTTAAATATTTTTTTATTAGTGGGTCATACTAGTAACAAAGACTGTTGGTTGAGAATGGGTACTTGCCTATCAGTAGCTCTTCCTTAACTCAATTGTATAACTTACAAAACCTGTTTTTCTTTCTCCTTTCTAAAACTGAAGAATTTATTTATTATGCAGCTTGAATCTTTCCTGATTCTCTTTAAAGCTCCTTTATTTTTCTTTCTCTCTTTTTCTCTATTCTTAATCTCCTTCCTCTCCTGCTCCTTAAGGCCTTGGAATATCTTTTCAAGTTCATTGTCCAATCTCGGATCCTCTACTCCAGAGCTACTTGTGGAATGGAGGAGGAACAGTTCCGCTCCAGCATCCAGGAGCTTTTCCAGTCCATCAGATTTGTGCTCAGCTTGGACAGCAGGAGCTCTGAGACTCTCATCTTCACACAGGTTTGCTATTTTCTACTCTTCAATGAGTAAGCCAGAAGGCAGCTACTTTCTGCACAGGTGGTATCTATGGGCCCATGACCATTAGAGAGTTTTCCCCCTCTGACAAGGTGATGATACTGGAAAACAGCATAGCCAGTTAAAGTTCTTAGGCAGTAGCTTTGCACCACTTCCCAGGTACAGGTGAGCTGAACTGTGGACCTGAAAGAGGAAAGTGACTTGTCACAGCAGAGTACAATTTTTTCTCTTCACAAAAGTAAACTGCTTTTTCAAGGCTCTCATTCAAATGTGTTATGATTGGTCTCAAGAAGTTTTAAATCCTCAGTTGTAGTAGCTCAACTAAATAGTCATAGCAGCATCATAGTAGAGAAGTCCAATTGATGTACTCATGGTCAGATAAACTTAATTCCAGCATACTCTAAAATTAAGGTCAGAATCATATGCAGCCTGACCACAAGCATACTGTGATACCCACACTCACATTTAATACATTATTTTTAACATTGCATGGAGGACTTCATGAAGACTTTATGTGGGCTCAAGATACTACTCAAAGTGAGTAAGGATGCAGCTAAGACTTGTTTCATATTTTAAAGACCACTGTACTAAATTACATACTTCTGTATTTAAAAGTTTTAAATAGTAATGTCAAGTGAGTTGTGTGTGCCTCAGCTCAGAGAATGTCAAAATGGACCATCTAGAACTTTCTGGTAATACAAAGGTGATTTGTAATCACTAATTTGCTGTTTACAGATGTTTTGAACAGCTACTGTAGTTTGCCAAAGAAGCAGTTGTTGTGAACATTGCAACAAAACAGAGTGAGTCTAGTGGTTATGGAAGCTGCCAGCAATGTGATCTCTTCCTTAAGAAGCTACTCTGAAAGATTTTGAGAACAGCTGCTCCAATCTTTTATTTAATCACCCATTAGTGGGTATAATAAGATGAGCCAGGAACATGAGAAATCAGTGCATAAATTTTTACAGGCAGAGTGACAGTGAGGGGAAACAGCATCTTAAGAGCATGGGCTGTTGAGGTGGCTGTGTTTGTTTTTCACTTGCATTGATCACAAATACAGAGGGAGACTAGATTTTGAGGATGGGGTTATTTTCCCTCTTTATCTCTTTTTTTTTTTTTTCCTCCTTTCTCTCACTATGGTATTTCTTACTTTGGACTTTTGTAATTTGTGAAGCCTGTCTTTGTTTAATCTTTGAAAAGTTTACTTTTTGTTTCCCCCTTGCCACTATGTTGCCCCTTGATCCCAATTGCCCCATAGGCCTCTCAGCCTGGAGGGCAGGCGAGCGGAGCTGGGACATGTGCCCCACAAAAATGTGGTGGTACTTCAAGGCCGTCATTTAATTCTGTAAGTAACGATCCTCAGAACTGCACAAGTATTTCATCATGGATGCTCCCAATTAATTCCTTCACCCTACCCTAAAACCCTCTCTTTTCCTGCATATAAACTGGAATTTAATGTTTAAGTGGCTGGTACCGTAAAACTAGGAAATCTGGAATATTTCAGTAATTAAGGGAACAGCTTTATGGCATCTGCACACTGAGGACACGTACAAGATTATGTATGTTTGATTGTTCAGGAGGGCCAAGGAGATTATGTACCAGTTCCGGAAATGTGGACAACTGTTAAATATCTATAGAAATGTGTGAGGCCCTAGCAAACATAATTTTCTTCTCACTTGTCCTCTTACCCAGGATATTAGAGAGTTCTCAATATAGTTCTTTCCAGTAATGAGATTAAAACCAATTATGTCCTGCCTTCCAGGCAATTGGTTTGACATGAGTAATGTTCCTGCATATTTTAGGGTGTTGTACAAAAAAGGGCCCTTCAAGGAACTGATGGAATAGTGTAGGTGTACCTCAGGACAGCTCCAAAGCTTCCTGATGAGATCTTGTGCATATCCTTAGATTGCTACTGGATACCCTAAATCACCACAGAAATCCTTCTGCTTTATAGCAATAATTAGAAATAAGTTTGGGGAAAGTCCTGTAAGGATTTATTTGGCCTGTATTGTAATTTCACTTGTATGATCCCAAAGATAAAGATGATGACTGGATTTGTGGCTATTAGAGCCTTCCGAGAGTACCATGCGCTATTTAAATGATTCATATTTGTTTATCTTGTTAGCACATTGTACGTATGTAGCAACAAATAGGTGACAATACCAAGGAGGCTATGAGGGGTTTTGCGTGATCAGATTACAATCCGAATTGATTGTAACAAGACAAGATATTGCCATAATGAGCACAAAGAAAAAAGAGGTAAATCTATGTTTGGAATAATTTAATTGGCTCTGCAGTGTTAGATGTAAAAGTATCTTAGACTTTGTTCAGAGACTGTTAGATAGATACCACTGTTGTTTGAAGGAAAAGACAGTATGAGGAAAGGCTTGGCCAAGAAGGAAGCTGTATATTATATGGGATTAGGAGAGGCATGCTGAGTGTTAGAGCCAGAATGAGAGATACAGAAGTGTTTATGCAATGAGAAAACAAATCTATGAGGAAAAGGAGAACTTGCAGAATAGAAGAAAATACCAATAGGTGGTTAGACTCTGGAAGAGCAAAGCTGAACAGAGATCTGCAATGAAGTTGGTAAATGTGGATTTCTGCAGGAAACCAGTGTGGTTTGTGTGGAGAGCTTCAGATGAGGGAGGTGGAGATGGTGAGAAGGGAGGTGGAGGGGCAGCTGTGGCTGGAGTGGGTGCAAGTAAGGCAGCTTAGTCACAACCAGGTTGTGCAGCAGTCCCAGAAAGGAACCAGCTAGGAATTTAGGTAGTTATAATGAGGACATGGGTATGGACATTGGGTAGGATGAGAAGTTCAAAACGTTAGAAGTGTGTGGCAGTTGTTAGGTGTGACACCAAGTCTGCGGAACTTAAGGGATAAGGCGATGCATGGAATTCTCTACTGTTATGAAGAATTAAATTGAAAAAGTGTGAAATAAGAGCTGAAGGGTTTCATTAGTTTGTTGGTTTTGTGCTGATGTTATTTCTGCACTTCAAGAAACACCTTCAAGGATAGCTCCAGCTTACTGGAAATATCCATTATTGCAAGAATCACATGCACAGTTATTTGCATGATGTGATGCCTCTTTCACATGAAATTGCACCTCACCCCTGATGCAGAAATATGTCAAGTCACCTGATAGTGCTGCTATGGTTAAGGGTGTGTCAACACGTTCTGTTCTTCAGAATCTTTTCTGAAGAGTTTTAACTGTCTCAGGTAGTTGCTCGGTACAAAAAATTGCCATGGAACTCTCTAATCAGAAGCAAGTTTATCTATTGAAGAAAGTAAATCAACAAAAATAGACTATTTCTGTTCTCTGATACCTAGGGTTTTTTCTGTTTTATAAGCTGTGTCCTAAAATACAGCCTTTTGAAGCTCTACATTATGTATGTGCTCAACTTCTAATAAAAATATTGCAGCAGAGCTTGATTTTTATATGCTTTTGTTGACTGTGAACTTTATGTCTTACAGAACTTTAACACCAGCTGTAGTGCACTGTTTAGTAGCTTTTTACAGAACCTTAATTCAGTTTTACTGTTGTTCCTATTTCACTGCATTTAGCTGCAGTTGCAGAATTCAGAATTCTCAGTTCTTCGTTTACTTTTTTCAGGCTGCTTTGCTGAACTCCTTCCCCACTATCTTTGACGAGCTGTTGCAGATGTTCACGGTGCAGGAGGTTGCAGAGTTCGTGAGGGGCACTCTGGGCAGCATGCCCAGCACAGTACACATCGGGCAGTCCATGGATGTGGTTAAGCTCCAGTCCATCGCGCGCACTGTTGACAGCCGCCTGTTCTCCTTCTCAGGTGAGCCAGCAGTATCCGAGGGTGGGTCTTGCTGCTAACTAAGAGCAGGGACAGGTTACGATTATTTTGCAGTTGCTTTGTTACAACCCATTCATTGCTGAATGCCAGTGTTGGTAAATATTTATCTTGGCAGTGTCGTGACTACGTATAGTCACTGCATATACTTAGTTTCCCTAGAAAATGTGTATAAATCCATCACAGATAAATTGTAGTTAAGGTTGATAAAAATATGCACATTAGCAAGTCAAGTCAATTATTAAAACTGCCAAATCTCACTTGATATTTGTATTACTCCTCTATTGTTGCCATGGGTAGGAAGATAACCTCCTTCCCAGCAAGTTCATTGTCTGGAGAGAGCAGCAAGGAGGTAAAGTTATGTGAGAAATCCATCCCATTATTTTAAAGTATGTTTAATCTTTATATTATAATTTTAATTTGCTCAACATACTAGTGATTCTTTAATAATTAATTGAATGAAGAAGAGTTGAAGATTTTGAGTTTTATACATGAGCGTGACTGAAAGAAGTTAAGAAGATAATAGCAGAAGGTAAAAAGCACCATTTGGCTTATCTTCCCTGCAGTGAGGATCTCAAGGTAGTGCACTGCAATTACTTGGTCCAAGATGAGAATGATAACAACAGAGAATCATTTAAAACATTCATCATAAATGTTTATAAACATTTTTTTTTTCTTAAATTTGAAATTAATCTCAATAAATTAGTGTAGAGAATGAGTAATTAGTCCAAAGATGGTTGCGAAACAGACAATACATTTTATCTAACTGTAGTGTTTTGAACATATTTATAAAAATACTTGTCTTTCTGCTTTTTGATGCTGTAGTGAGATGTCATGGTGCTATGCAGCAGCCAAAAGCATCGTTAGTTGCCAGTGTCACTGCAAAGGAGGAATGAAGGTTAATGGGAAAGTTTCCAAAGTTATCTTTTGCCTGCTTTTCAGGTGTTGCAATTAAAGGAAGTTACATTCTCTTTTTCTTGCCTCCCATATGGTAATGACTTGTTTTGCTTCTCTCTGTCCTGTCAGACTCCTGACATCTTGCCACTTTTTTCCCCCCTCTTCTTTCTTTTTTCCTGCCTTTTTTTTTAATTTTGGTTACTGTTTTCTGCAGCTGCTACGTGCTTTCCCTTCTTCAATAAGTTAAGGGTTGTAAGCCTCCTAAAAGAGAATTATTAGCCAGTTTCCATGGGGCGTATGTTGGAGAAGCTCTGTCAGCTGTGACAGTAGAGCTGGAAACAACATGGACTGAGGATGGGTTTGCACCAAAAAGAATGTGTCAGTTCACAGCTGTTGTTTCAAAGCTGAACTACTATTGACAGCATCACATACACTACATTTATGGACTTTTGAAACTGGATGCACTTTTCATTCACTGGATACAGTTCTTGGAAGTGTAGTGTACTACAGTCTGTACAGTAGAAGTTGTACTAATTGATTGAAGGTGCTGTATATCAGTAGGCTAGTTTGGATACCAGAAGACTGCTGATGGGTATGGTTGAAACTTAATTTTCTGTTGGAAAAATTGTGATCTTTTTTCCTTCTTTCAGAGTCCCGGCGCATCCTGCTGCCTGTAGTTCTTCACCACATTCACCTTCACCTACGACAGCAGAAGGAGCTACTTATCTGCTCTGGGATCCTCAGTAGCATCTTCTCTATAATTAAGACAAGTTCTCTGGTAACCTGCTGCTTGTTTATTTTTTGTAATTGCACCACTGATTCAGTAAAATGAAAACTGAGGTATTTTCATGGCTTAATACAGGTTTTTTGAAGATTCTTTCAAAAACGAAATTCTACTAATTTTCTGGCAGCAGGAGAACATCTGAAATGAGGGTCTGCTTTTGTGTGTGTGACTCAGAGCATTCTGATTACACAGTGTTCTTGCTGTTAGGAGGGGAAAAAAGCATACGCATTTACCAGGTTTGACACTGTTTAATTTTCTTCATCCAAGCCCAGAAGTTAGGTATCAGTGGAGTATGAAAGCTTCATGCAGCGCTAGGACTTGTAGTTCTACAAGAGACAGTAACTAGCACTTTGTGATTCATGTTAAGAGAATACTCTAAAATTATCCAATCAATGAAATCACACTTCTGGAAATAGTTGCTGAGTTTAAACATCCAGCTTTGATGATTGTAATACTCTGATCTCAGATGGTAACTTGATCATTTAAATCAAGGCTCACAGACAGAGTGAAGTTTCCCCACCTGACTCTAAAGGAGGAAGTTCATGGTGCTAAATATGTTTCATACACATCCATCTGTATTTCCAATTACAAGTTACGGGTTTGTGTGAAAGGAATGAGATGAAAGGCAGCATGGTAATAAGCTGCAATAATACTGCCAAGAAATAAAGGTTCCTGAACATAATTTGATCCCGTTGTGTTCTAGAGTGTATGCAGACCTGTGATTAGAGATTTACCTTAATGTCCGTGACCTGAAAGTTTCCACCAGAGACTGACAAAGTAGTGCACACACACACACAGAGGAATCGCAACAATATCTGGTACCAGTGAGGAATTTGATAGAACTTCTTTGAACCTCTGTTACACAGCTCTCTATGAAAATAACTTTGTGTTATGATTTACTCAGCAGAACTGTCTTTGCCCATTCCTTTCTCTCCCATTTCTAACTGTCTGTTTGCTCACCACTTACTGTAGGAGGGAGATGTCGTGGAGGAGGTTGAGATGATGGTGGAGAGCCTCCTGGATGTGCTTTTACAAACTCTGCTTACAATCATGAGTAAATCGCAGTCTCAGGAGGCGGTAAGAGGGCAGCGTTGCCCGCAGTGCACAGCAGAAATCACTGTTAGTAACTAACAATCAGTTTCTATTTCCTGCTTCTCTAACCTTTGGTTCAATCCCTCACCACCACCGGCACCTCATTATCATCTCGGCTGCATGAATGCCCAGGGCTTTGTCTCTTTCCCTTAATGAGTCACAAGTCCATTCCTTCCTCTGCGCAGTAGGGAGGTCTGCAGGAAGCAGTGGAGCTCAGGAAACTTTTGTGGATTTCCAAGTTATTTTCTTGTTTGTCTTTGCAGCTGTGATAGAGAATTGTTGCTTAGAACTTGAGGTGTATGCTAGGGTGGGTAGCCGCCTGGAGCTTCGCCCCAAAACAGCCATCACCAAGGGCTACATGAGTATGAGGCTCAGATTCCCAAGACTGAGAATTGCACAGTATTGAGTGGATGAATTCCTTTCCTTAGCACCCTGGAGAGCTTCACTCTGATTATTTTGTGCAAAGAAAACAAAACATACTTTTGGAAAAGAAATTAACAGATCTTAAGTCAAGCGCGCTGTTGAGCTCACTGGGAAAAGAGGGAGAAGCCACCACTTTGTCCAGACTACCAGCATAGGCCTAGGGGAAGAAATTTTTTCTTTGACATGTAATGGAAGAGGAGAAAAAGAACATAATTTTACTGTTCAGCTTTCTTCTTTTCTGGATTTGTTGCCTATTTCAGTCTATTTTTGCTTCCCAGAGTCTTTAATGCAGCTTTTGCACAATGTATGATGGTACGCTGTTGTTCAGAACATCCCTTTTTTTAGACTTGCTTTTTTGTCAAATGGCTGAAACCTCAGAGTATTGTTGGGGCAGATGTACACTGCAGTACACTTGTCACAGAAGAGAAGAGCTTGTATCTTTCTGTGCTAGCTCAGATAAAGTAACAAATGGCAGAATCCTGATAAAGACCAAAGCATTTTGTAGTTTTCAGACATGTTCTTTGATAGAAAACAAGAAAGGCACTATTTTCCCAAGGTCCAGTAACATCTCAATTTCCTTTTACTCCTACCATTTTACTTACTGTTATTTATCACATGCCACCTCACATATAAGAGGACACTGTTTTTCCTAATGAAGATCAGCCCCATAAAGTTTATTGGAACTTTAAAAGCTTCTAGGTAGATGCTTAAGCCAATTAGAAAAAAAATATTAAAATGGAATGGACAGTCCCAAGTATAAAATCCCCTTGCATTTGTTCCTGAATTTATATTTTGCAGCACAATGATACACGATATCTTATTATATGCTGTTTAGAAAGCAGAGTTTGCATATTTTCCAAATTAATTGCTCACTGTTGGGGAAAAAAAAAAAAAAAGTGGTGTTGTGCAAAGGGCTGGGAGTTAAAAGACCTAGTCCTTAACGTTCTTGGCACTGCCTTGCTCGTTATCTTGAACAGATTGCTTAACTTCTCTGTGCTTTGCTTTCAGGTATGTAAAATGGGGGAGCTCATCTTTGGAAAACACTTTGGGATACTGTGGTAACTGGTTAGGGCACATCTGCTTTGCAGGTCAGAAATGTAACTGTAGCTCATGTGGGCTTACCCAGACAATATTCCTAATATCTTACCGGAATACTGCTAGTACTGTAGCTGTGACAGCACATAAGTTGGTGTGAGCACTAATAAGCCAAGTATTTACAAGATTCCAGACACCTTCTGCTGCCCATGCTGATCCCATGCTGTCACTGCTATACTGTTCTGTCTGAGCCAATTCATTTAAATAATTAATTTAAATAATTCCTGGTATGTCTGCATGGGCTGCAGTCACACCTTTGATAGGCATAGTATAATAAGGAACTTTAAAAAGGTGATTGTCAAAAACTGCACACTTGGAGGACTCACAAATGTCTGCATTAAACATTTTAAATTATTTTTGTTTAGACTACAACATTGGTTAAAAGACCTTTAAAATTGGTATCTAAGGTGAAGGAGCCTTTAAGAGGTATATTCCTATGGATTAACAGTAATTCAAGAACTGTTAACATGCAGTATTTTTAATCTCTGTGCATGTCAGCTTTCCTCTCATAGGCATTGGGGCCATTTCAGACCCCTCCCTTTATACCTTACCCCAGATTGAGTTTTGTATTTATGAGATTTCCGACTGTCTGAACGAAATAGTTTCTCCTTTGGTCCACAGGGAGAATATGTCTCCTGCCTTTTATCTTTGCTTCGTCAGATGTCAGACACTCATTTCCAGCACTTACTGGACAACTTTCAAAGCAAGGATGAACTAAAGGTACAATAGAACATGATGTTTGTAAGGTGGTTCACTTGGAATGGGAGAGCAGGGGGGAGTCCCTCTGCTAATCGTTCCCGTTCATGGGCATTCTATTCATGGACCTTCCCTTTGCTTTTACAATAACAGGTGTGTTACAAAAACATTCAAGACACAGGTTAGTGTATTGTCTTCTTAGCAGCAAATAAAGTCCCTATAGAGATGTTATTAGACATTAAAGGGTACTAGTATTGTAGCATGTGGAAGATAGAGGAACAGGGATTTTTTTAATCCTGAAAACGTGAAGTCAGTTGTTCTGTACATTCTACTAGATGTTCAGTGTGCATTGCAGCTTACTTATGAAGGGTTTTGATTTTATGCCAAAAGATAATTTCAAGCCTTTTTAGGGATACAGATGTCTCTAGCAGATGAAATCTTTTTTGGAAAAGCAGTAACCTTATTGCTCCACTTGCTGCCTGCTTCCCAAATTTGTGAACATTAACTTCAGCAATGGCTCTTCATGAAGAGAAGAGTTTGGTTGGGAGGTACAGACCTTTCCAGTGGCATGTTTTGCCACTGACGTTTTGAAATAGCATATCTCAAAAGAGAATTCATTTGACTTTGTTAGGAAGGAGGAGTATCTCCAACAACAGTCTGTTTAAAAGGCAGAATAATTTCATAAAGACATTATTTTATATAAAATGCTTTTGAACAGCATGGCACGCAAGAAAATATGGGCAATAAGAGGAATGTAATGTGGGAGGAGCTTAAGTTGCCTTAATTTAAATAGAAGCTGAAAGCCTATTCAGAGAGGGCTTCCACTGTTACTCTAAATACTTCATGTGCATATAGAGAGGTTGAATAAATCAGGGACATAAATTTGGGAAGATACAATTCTGAGCTTTGGGTTGCAGGGTTCAACGTATCTCCGGCTGATAGTTCACTGAGCTTACCACCTTTCAGGTAACTTTTGAATTGCTCATTGGAAAAATTATTTGGTAGATTAATTCATGTTAATTTTAATAGATATTTTTTATAAGGCACCTAAACCATAGTTCTTATGTCAGGCCACTGAAAAGTTTTGTCATTGAACTGAAATTTGTCTTTACACCCTTAAGAGCAAACCCTGTTGTATCTCTGATAATCCCAGGATACCAAGAGTGTCACAGAGGCTGAAGGTTTTATACCAGAACTTTTTTCCAACTATCTGTTGACCTAATAAAATATATTACTTTTTTTCCACTTCAAATGTTGCTGTAACAATATTTCCAATAATTTTTCTTGGATGGAAAGGCATTATGTTCACTTACCAGTGTTGCATCTAGGCCAAAATGAGGCCAAAAGTCAAAGAGCTTGTGATGATTTACTCTTAACTCAATTACACCAAGATATTAATCTCCTCTCTGCACTTATGGTAGGACAGTTTTGAAGAAACCTTGTGCTGCCACTTTTTGTGCCAGCTTGATTTTGTGTAGAAAAAAACCAATAAAATCATAGTTTGCAAGGCCAACAACCTGGCATGTTTTATCCTCACTGTTGCTCTTTATAGGCATAGAGGTTGAGATATGCAAACCCAGGAAATTTCTTCAGGTTTGGGGATTTTTTGGGGAAGCAAATGTTTAGCTGAAGGTGTTCAAGATATTTTTTTCTGTTTTGCTGGAAATGGTGTTTTCTGTTAGTATTTTTAAAAGTGTGTGTGGGAGTTTTATTAGGCTTGGGGGTATGGTGTTTTTGTCAAATCTGTGACATAAGTGCAAAGAAATTAGGACAGATACATTAGTTGCATTAATGCATAAATTAATTATTGTGAATACCATATATTTGCAAATAGCTGCTAATTGATACTGGAACTCTAGATGGTAATATGAGAAGTAATATACAATTATACACATAAGGAAGGTTTTATCCCGCTGCAGACGTTAAGACTTTAAAGAAGGGTGCAGCTTTTTTTAGTACATGTTAGATGCATACAAAATGAAGAGCCACATCACAATATATGCTGTTCCTGTGTTTTCAGATGGATGACCTAGTAATGCAAAGCTCAAGTGAAGCACGCTTAGCTTAACTGTCCTTCTTACAATCAAGAAAAGAGATTCATCTGGAGCTGCTGGTGATTTTTAATTAATTTTTTTTCCCCCTGTGTTATAGGAGTTCCTCCTGAAGATTTTCTGTGTATTTCGGAACCTGATGAAAATGAGTGTCTTTCCTCGAGACTGGATGGTGATGAGGTTGCTCACCAGCAAGTAAGTAGAGGAGCAGGTATAAACCCTTGACGTTCTGTATTGGAATTTCTTCTCCCTGACTGGGTCATTAAAACCTGTGATGCAGTGTGCTTCATCAGACTGAGATGTGGTGATCAAGGTGGGAATTCTGGAGCGATCGTCCTCATTCTGCAGTTCTTTTAACACTCTGGACCAAACTGGGACTTATGTATTTGTTCTGTTTCTTAAACTCTACTGATATGCATCAGGATCGAAGAGTTAAAGGTTTAAACCCAAAGTTGAAGTAGCTGCACTGAGTATAAGGGTGACATAGCAGCTATAATAACACATGTCAGGGAACAGCCACCCCCACCAAGTGGTATTAAAAGGCAGGCCTCTCAACCCCCTCTCTCAGTAAATGCTACGTTAAGCATCTCTCTTTTCCCATCAACATCACTCCTTAGCCTAACTAGAAGGACTCTGTTAAAAGGAGGAGCAATGACACCAACTGCATTACACAGAGTTATATCTCAAGTTGTCATCTACCATTTTAGTGCTTAATTTTATCTAATTTTTTTGCTTCTGATGGGTTAAGTAGTATGCTGCTTGGGATGGCAGCAGCATGGTGAACACAACGGTGGCTGGAATTATTTACTGTCTTCCTTAGATAAACTAGCTATAGAATTACTACTGACTAACTGACACTGGAGGATTCCCATTAGAAGACGACACCATGGAAGTGCTCCTGAAGGCTGACTGCTTAGCTGAGCTGTATGCTATCACCATGCTAATGAAAAGTGAAAGAAGTGGATTTCAGTATTTCAAGAGCAAAGATTAAATGAGGTTCTTAAGAAAAGAAAAATCCAGATGAAAGAGTAGCTACCTCAGCTGCTGTAGGTTACCTTGTTCCCTTTGGCATAATTTTGCCATAAACTTTTAGACTGATAGGTATGTTTAGCAGTATTCTGGAAGTATTACTTGCATGTGAATCAGAGATGTGCTCTTTCTTTTGATACTATTGTTGCCTTATATACATGCTATTTATTCATTTCTGAATTTATCACATGACTTCGTTGCCTTTCACTTAGATGTGTTTAGCTACCAACAAAACAAAATACCAGGGCATTGAGAACTGGCAAAATAATAAATATCTTGAGTTGAAGCGTGAGCCAGATAAAGGACCATTGTATAGCCAAGAATGAAATTAGCTCAGACTTTCTGAGTGCTCTTCAGGGGGACGTGGGGAGAGAAATCTTTGTTTAAAGTAGGAGGAAGATGGAGGTGTTCCTTTGATTTGCTGGAGGTAATGTGGCCCAGCCATGCAAAATAGACTAGATTTTCAATGCTACTGTGTAAATTCCAAAACTTCCAATAACAATGAAAATTCTTGATCTTGTATCGCTTGGTACAAATTGTTTGTGGAAGCATAGAAAGACTACAGAAATAGATTATAGACATAGAAAGTAGGTGACTACTGTGCAATTACAGCAGTGATAGCATGCCTGTCTCTACGTATAATAAGATCAGCACCACAAAACACTGTCATGTGTTACACTCCAGCTTCAAATGTTCTGTTTTTGTTTTTGACTGCAGTATCATAGTTACAACAGTTCAGTACCTGTCTTCTGCACTGCATAAGAACTTCACGGAAACAGACTTCGATTTTAAAGTAAGAATTGATACTCAGAAAATGTTATGACATCTTTTTAAACTAGCAGTAACAAAGGAACAAGATCTATTCTCTGCATTAGTTGATTAAATTTGCAGCATATTTGAGAATCTGTAGGGAAGATGACCTCACTGATAAAAGGCAGGAATTTGAATCTGCTGTGGTATTGAGGAGAAGTAGAACAGATAACACCGTGAGATCAAATCAAGAAAATTGAACCTCTCAGAAAGGAAACAAGTATCTTCATAAGCAGTGGAGCTAATGAAGGATGCCGTCTTACAGATTCATGGTTAAGATGTAAACTCAGGCAGTGCTTTTCCTGAAGCTGGGGCATTCATGACCCTCCCTCCCAGAGGTCTTTCTCTTAGAGAGTGTTTTCCCTATGTCTGATCCAGTTGAAGAAAGGCAACAAGTTAATATCACTAAGGAAAAGGTGCCAGACATGTACATAGGCACGTGCACTCACAGCGTGATGACAAAAGCCTCATTTCTTTGGGAAAACTGACTAAATTACAGGGCTGTCATTCATGATACAGTGTAATCTCTGGGGTTTTTTGAGTGAGAAGATCTGTTTAGCCTACAGAAAACACAATTTAAAATTTGTCACAAAGTTGATTCATTTTTGAACTCTGGTGCTAAGAGGAAAGCTCAGTGGTGTTACTTTCTTGGGGTTTTTAAGTTTAGGTCCTACCAGGTTTTAAATAATGCTTTAAGAGTTTCCTTAAGAGTTTAGTATCTCAGTGGTTAAGACAGATACTAAGTTATTTCTTGATTACAGAAGAGAACACCCTGATTGTACATATAAGGGGATATAGGTTCTCCTGCACTTGTTTAATACATACTCCTTGGAGTGTAATGTAATAAAACTTCCTTCCTGTGTCACAGGTGTGGAACTCTTATTTCAGCCTAGCAGTTTTGTTTATAAACCAGCCAAGTCTCCAACTAGAAAATGCCACACCAGCCAAGAGGAAGAAGATTCTGGATAAGTAAGAACATGTTTTGTTGGGTTCCTGGCCTTTTGTGCCACCTCAAAAATGAGACTTCTTTTTCTACCACATGTCCCTGTGGTTACTATGGAACTTGGGATGCGGGAATAAATAAGTTGATCTCCTACTACAGTGTTCACTAATTAGTCACGTTGTTTGATACTCTTACGTTGACTTAAACGTGAATTTGATGTTGGTTTTTTTTTTAACATCGTTGCCGCCTTGCCAGTTTTTGTTCCGCTAGGCAGTTGTCCATCTCCTTTTTTTTTTTTCCCAGATATGGTGATATGAGAGTAATGATGGCATATGAACTCTTCAGCATGTGGCAGAACCTGGGTATGTCTCTTCCTTCTCTGTCCTCACAACCAAAGCCAAAGTAACCCTGGGTTTCTGTTGGCATGTTTTATTTTATTTTTGTAGCATTGCAGAGTACTTCATTTCTCTGAGGACTTGTAAAACAAGGGAGCACTTCTCCTCTGCCACCAAAACCTCTCTTCTGTACTGTCTCATCATACCTTTTTATTTGACATAATACATTCCTGTGAATTTGAATGCTCTCTTCTCAAATGTGACCAGGACAGGTTTTGGGTTTTTTTGACACGCCAGTGACAGTTTTTTATCTATTTGCAAATAGAAAATCAGCTTTTTCTAAGCCTTTCCACTGTGCTGCAGATGGGTTCCTATGGAGATAAACTTACCCTCTGAGTTTTGTCTGATCCATGGCTGTTAAGCAGAAATTTAAATTTGAAGTCATAATCAACTTTATAATTTTGTAGATGCCAAAGTTGTCATGATTCAAAATTACAGAATCACAGAATCATTTAGGTTGTAAAAGATCATAGAGTCCAATCATTAACCTAACACTGCCATGTCCACCACTAAACCATAGTAGCATATGGTAAAGCTGCTTTTTTGATATCTTTGGGTACTAGAGTGCATGTAACAAACAGTAAAAAAAAAAAAAAAAAAATAAAAAAAATAAAAAAAAAAAAAAAAAAAAAGCAACAGAGAGAGAAAACCAAACCCACAAAAGCCCTGTCCACAGTAATGCAACATGTGTGATAAAATTTAAACTTCTGCAATTCATTTTACCTTTTCCTATATGTTTTGACTACTAAATTAAGCATGTTATAGAATGAGGAAAAATACATCCCACTACAGATCTAAAAAGGTAAATGGAGAATTTTTCATCAAGGACTTGTGCTTTTAGAAGTGTGCTGCAGAAGTCTTGGGTTTAGGTACATCTGAATACCTGTGGAAATGTTTGAGGACAAAGGAAGTATATAGTGTTCTAGAGGAAAGGAAAAAGGAGTTTTCTGATAGACATCAGAAGTAGAAGGTTCTGAGAACAGGTGAGTTAGTAAGAGAGCAGAGGAATGATACAAATCAAATTGGATAACTTGATACTGTGACTGCAAGCAATATATTTAGAAAGACAAGTATCAACATTGTATTTGTGGGAATATAGGTAGGAGTGCTATTGAAGAAAACAAAGACCACAGATGTGTTGTGCTATTAGTCACAGAGTTAATGGGATAATAATGGGAGCGACCTGTAGAATGCCATGAATAAAAAAAGATACCATAACCTTTGAGAAAATATTGATGAATCTTGAGTAGATGGACGGTGTGACTGCCACTGTTTTCATAAGTGCACTTGATTCAAGAATTGCCTGGTCCTGCTTTCTACAGAAAAAAAATAAATATCCATCCCAAAGACAAGCTGGACAGATTTCAAAGAACAGTAAGGAAGATGACTACAAAAGTAACAGAAAGTCTGAATAAGCCTGGCTCATCTTGAATAACTAAGATACAGCCAGACTTGATCACGGCTTCTAAGCATGTCTGGAAAATAGAAGGTGCTCCAATATACCAGCGATCAAATAACCAGAAAATGATGCTAGACAAATTCAACTGAGAAGTGAGAAGCCCATTGTAGATGCAGATAGAAATATTTATCTCTGAAAGTAGTTCCAGATATGGCTATTTGGTAGTGCGCAGCAAGCACGCCATAGAAGAGACTGTTAGCAAAGTGCCTTGGGCTTCTGTGCTGAGAAACAATGCAATTTGGCCCTAAGTCAAGGTCAGTTATGAAATTGGGATTTCCATAGCACTAAGGATGAAGAGCTCTGTAGTTCTTTCAAATAAAATATGTTCTATTAAATACTATTGTTCTCACCATCCCTTTCAAAATCTTTTTTCTTCCTAAATTAGAAGCATCTGTGGCCTCTTTTCCCCCTAATATGTTTGAGCTTGGTTATTTTTGACAGTTTGAATTCCTTTGCAAGTAAAATACACTGACAATTTTTGCTGAAGGCTTTCACAGTGAAATTAAAAACGTTCTTAGAGACTTGCAAGGAATGACATAAAGCAAATACTGTTTTTCCAGTCCTTTCAGAAAAAGAATGTTTGCTTTTCTAATGCTCATGCCTACTACTTTGTATATGTCATTATTGCAGGGGTTCCCTGTTTTCTCAGTGACAGAAAATGAAGGCTTTTATTTACTTACAGTTGCTTTGTGTTGAACAGGTGAGCATAAGATTCACTTTATTCCGGGAATGATTGGCCCCTTTCTTGGTGTTACACTGGTTCCACAACCAGAAGTCCGGAATATCATGATCCCTATCTTCCATGACATGATGGACTGGGAGCAGAGAAAGAACGGCAACTTCAAACAGGTGAAGTCTTTTCCCAGGCATTGGCAGTACTCTTTTTCTTGCTCTGTCTTCTGCAATGTCCATCTGGAAGCAAGGAATTTGTATCTGTTGATCATCTTGGATTGTGAAGAAGATGCTGTCATATATGCAAAAATAAGCAGATATGTCAAATATGCAAAAATAGAAAATTTGAAGCATAATTCACAAAACCATTACAAGACTCCCAAGATTATTTAAACAGTACACTTTACATCAGGCTGCATTTCCCATGAACATAGCAAAGCGGAACGATGTGCTCACCCCACTGGAGATGAGGGAGAGAAAAGAATTTTATACGTGCTGGGCTCTCACTGCTCCCACGGGTTTCACTTAGATTATCAGTCAACCATTAAATGGGTCAGACTGATAACAAAAAATGGACATGTGAAGATTCAGTCGATATTTGTGGGAACAGTGGTCTCCGCTTCTCTGTCTTCAATTTCCAGCTAGAAAGTGGTATTAAGTAGTTATGCCAGGCTTTGAAACAGAGTTTGTGACAGTGGTTTTTAAGAAATTGTAGCAGCAATCCTGGAACAGTTGTGTCCAGTAGTTTCCACATGCTGTGAGCTCTGACTGCAAGACAGGGAGAGGAGTCTTCACCCTTTTGTTGCCCAGTCGTGGTCAGAGAATTGCTTAAGTTTTCCATTGCAAAACAGATCCCTGAAGTGCAAAGTATTAATGAGAAGGATCAGTTTGGACTGGATCCTCAGCTGGCAGTGAGTCATTGTCACTGTGTTTGGGGCAATACTGGGAGCACGTATCTGCAGACAAGTGCTCTGAAGTAGTAAATCCTTTTATTTAAATTATCATAATTCATGTGGTTATTTATTATCCACACGCTCATTAAAATGCCAGATCTAATCTATCATTCCAGGAGAATAAAAGACCTTTTCATAACCTGACCTATTAAAGGCTGTGTAGAAAAGTATTACCAGGAGCTTATGTTTTTCTTCCCATTGAACTCCCTTGATTATTACTATCATTATTATTTACTACTATTATTATAAACATAGCATTCAGTCACGGTCCTCTTTTTGCTTGTCTTGGCATAACAGTAGAACAATCTCTGCTCTGGCATTTACAGTTATAAGTACCTACAGTCATCTTCTAGTTTCTGAACCTGTTTGTTTTCTGTGTAAA